ATTGGTCAATTTTCTACAACTTAAGATTCTACGACTGCTACGACTTCTATTGTAGACCCCGCATAAAATTTTTGTACGTGTGAAGGCCATCACACGTAAAAAAATTTTAGTTGTATCGTAAAGCCGTAAGCAAATCAGCCAATCACAGTCGAGCGTTTTAAAACGCGAGATCGTAATTTTGATTGCGATTGGTCGATTTGCTTGTGACCTTACGATTCCGACTAAAATTTTTGTACGTATGATGGCCTTCATGGCCTTAAAAGTGATAATTCAAAGATATATATCGTATATGTAGTAGTAGTAGTAAACAGGTGTGGCTATGTGGTGTGTGAGAGTGTAGTTGTATGGGAAATAGAAAATAGTATTGCGTAAAAAATGACGAGGCGTGTTGCTGTGGTACGTAACTGCACCAAAATTATGAAATGTTATAGTAAATAATCTTTGTATTTCTATCGTCGATTATCTTTTCCAGATTGACATATATTTTTTTTCTTTTTATAGCTGCGTTTTATTATACTTTTTGCAATTATTAAAGTGAAATACATTAAAGTATATAATTATATAACACATTTAATTAAATGGAGGAAGAAAAAGAGAAAGATAAGATATACAAAAAGTTTAATTATTACAAACAGCTTGTAGTTTTTATTATTTGTAGTTGGATTGTTGGTACTTTTTGAGTCTCTTTTTTTCTCTCTTATACCAGTGCTGGGATTTATACTTTTATGTATTATATTTCGGCCGATTTTCACAACTTTATCCTGTCTCTTATTTCAACCTGCGTGCAACCTAAATGCCGATTGGCGCGCGGGTTGGTGAAGTAAGGGGTAGGAATTAAAAATTAAAAATCGACCGAAATGTGCAAATCCCAGCGTTGGTCTATACGTATAATTTTAAACATAGTTAAAACAAAGCCTGAGAAAAAATGTTACATATATGGACATATTTTATACATAATTATATATAATTGTATATAGTCATTTTTTATATAATTATATACAGGGTGTAACTGAAATAACGCCCACTAATCATACAGTGTTATTCTTAATAAAAAACTAAGTCGAAAAGTCCTTTACCATTTTGCAATTTTCGCAATAGTTAACGAGTTAATTAATTATAGTTAGAATTAATTTATAAATATTGCCGAATAAACGGATAAAATCGATGTATAAGATAATAATTTTAAGATATCTTTCCGTGTTCTTTGTGAAATATTTTGAAGATTTTTCTTAAAGAACTCTAAGATATCTTAAAGCTGTCTTATATGTCGATTTCAGATATTTTGCTCATTAGATAACTAAAAAAAATATTGCGAAAATTGCAAAATGATAGAAGACTTTTCGTTTCAGTTTTTTTTTATCAGGAATAGCACTATACGATTAATGGGCATTATTTCAGCTACACCCTGTATAATTATATATGAGAAACATTTTTTCCCGTAGTTTAACATAATTATTATTCTTTGGACTTTGTACTTTTTCCTTTTTTTCTTTTCAGTGACTAATTGTTTAGCACATTCCATACTGTAACTCAGGCTAAACTTTCTGTTTAGTCTGTTTGATACTTTGATTATAAACAAAAATAATTATAAAATCATTGTTAATATTATACACGGACACATTAGACCTTTTTCCTATAATTTTTACAATTTTTTAACTTATGTTATTTAACAAATATAACAAATAAAAATATCATGGGTTACTGATGACTCATGCGACATGATGGTCAAGTCCCTTAAAATTGACCTGGCACAGAATGTGTTTATTTTAAATATAGAAGTATAAGAATATGCAAAACATAGATCTAGAAATCTTAATAAATAATATTGTCATTCAGGTAACTGGTGGAAACAAGGGTATCGGCTTTGCCACCGTCAAAGCCCTTTGCCAACAATACAATGGAAACGTTTATTTGACAGCTCGCGATACTACCCGCGGCTTGAATGCCGTCAGTGAATTGAAAAAGCAAGGCTTGGATCCGAAGTTCCATCAATTGGATGTCAATGATGACAACAGTGTTAATACATTCCGGGATTATTTGCAAAATACGTACGGTGGCCTCGATGTGCTGGTTAACAATGCTGCCATAATGTTTCAAGTAATTGAAGCTATATTTCTATATAGTAATTAGTTAATAATTAAAAACATTACTGATATAGTAAACGCAGCGTAAGACAAATATACACACATTTTTAATTGTTTATTTAAAAAAAAACCCGATTATTTTTAAAAAGAATAACTTGATTTTAAACAGAGAAAAAATATATTGCTTTCCTATTCTTATTTGGATATAAACTGAATAATAACTGAATGATTTTGTAAAAATAAAATATCGAGAAGATAATATCTCCTCGATATTTTATTTTTACAACATATTCTACGCAATATATTATATTGATATTACATGTATTATATTGAAATTTACTTATTACAGAGCGATGCTACGGAGCCTTTTGGGTTCCAAGCAGAAGAAACGATACGAGTAAACTACTTCAGCTTGCGTAGAATATGTACTGCTCTCTATCCATTGCTCAAACCGCACGCCCGGGTGGTTCATGTTTCGAGCAGTCTTGGATGTCTATCAGAAATTACTGGCGATGAGTTAAAAAAGAAATTAACCAATCCAAATTTGACTGAAACAGAATTGGACAAAATCATGCACGAATTCGTCAAGTAAGGTTTAACATTTAAAAAAAAAAACAATTGTATTGATTATACGTTACTTTGGAAAGATTTTTCGAGATTTATATTCTTATATGTGGATTTATTTCCAGTGCTGCGAAATCTGATACGTATTTGCAAGTCGGTTGGTCAAATTCAGCATATGTGGCGAGTAAAATAGGTGTTAGTGCCTTAGCTGGTATTCACCAATCCATGTTCAATGCCGATCTCCGAGAAGACATTGCAGTGAATGCTGTACATCCTGGTTATGTAGATACTGATAGTACTTTACATAAGGGAATTTTGACACCAGACCAAGGAGCTGTAGCTCCTGTTTACTGCGCATTGTTGCCAGAGAATACAGAGATAAAAGGAAAATTTATCTGGTATGATAAGACGTTAGCAGACTGGAAGTAAGCATATGTAACAGATAGGTAAACTGGTTTGTACCACCATAATGCATAACATTTACAAATATATAAATGAAAAAATATGTGGATGTTAAATAAATCATATCTATAACATAAATTTAATTAAAAATAGAGTAAAGCTAGAAACATATAAAAAATCGTAAATAAGACTTAAACAATAAGCGAATCGGCCAATCACAATAAAGAATGCAAAGTAAGCTGTTTCGCTCTTACAGTAAGTATATCTTACTGTCTTGTTTTTTTTATGTGTTTCTGGCTTAAGAATAACAAAGAACTCACAAAAATGCAGACTATTTTGTTACAAATGTCTTTTATATTAAAACAACTGAATAAAAATATATATTGAAGAATGTTACATTATTACCCACATTTTCCAAAAAAATTTGTGAATAACGCAAAACGATTCCATATATTATTTCTATACTAAATACGAAATATATATAGTAATCAAAGAGAAGAAATGGATTCTTAATGTAAGTAATACATTTAGTGAAATTATGAGCTATCTTGCTTGAGCATTCATTGCTTCTCTCCGTGCCGCTTCAGTTAAAAGATGGATGTCTACCTCATCCACTGGAAGTTGTACGTATCGTACTACAGATCCACGGATAAAGCAATTTTTTACTGATAACTGCAATTTAATATACAATTTGTTAATTATATTTAATTGCAGTCATTTAATTTTAATGACTATATTGCATGTCTATCATTGGTGATTCAATTTCATTTTTTTTTTTTTTGGTGAATCACTTTTTTTAATTAATGCAAAATCCTTTGTGTGATAATGTTAATGGTAATTAACGTACCATGTGAGGATACTTCTCTGAATCTGTTACACTAATATCGGCCAATTTTATGTTTAGATACTGATCAACAGAATATAACGTGCCGCAGATACTAAAACAAAATATCACATTGCATTACCATAATGTGTGTAATGGTCAGTCACACTACACTGAATTAGTACACATTAAAGACTGTTTTACATAAAGTATCTAAATGCAGTAACATAATAAACTTAACTTTGCCAGTGAAATGATCAATGTATATTCTATTAAATAACATAATAACATCATTATTAAGCATTTAATCATTTAAAATATTTATATGCTTTTACACTTAATTTTATTAATTTCATATAGCTTTTAATGTACACTAATCTGATGTGATGCAAGTGACTGAATTCGCGTGACTTACAATCAGTCAGTATTACTCAAAACGTAATCATGTGACGTCTCACCTGAGGTCATTCTTCAATTCGACCACTACGTCCTTTCCGATCAAGGATTTGAAGAAGGAATAAAACAGCTGAAATTAAAAACACGCTCAATTAAATATTTGATACACATCCAAGTGTTATTCGCATCCATGGAAAGCCGGATTTTACATGTCTTTTTACGTCTCTTAACGTGAAAATCTTTACGTTAAGACTTACCATGATAATTTGCGAAAGATCACTGTGATCGTATATTCAGTATCGCATACGTCAGTTTATAATGATAAATAAACGTTCCAAACAAATCTCGGCGGTAAAATTATAACCTATGTCTATCGTCACGATGCATCAATGGCTGCGTTCAGCAGAACGTTTATTTTGCAACTGTTGGAAGTTTCCTTCGCGCTAATTGGATCATATTTTTAGATCTAGAAGAATGGTCCTATCTCAGCAGACAATCATAAACGGTTGCAAAACTGTTGAGTCTGCTGAACGCAGCCAATGAATATGAGCAATGCATACAATAGCATATACATAGAATGGAAACTTTTTTTGGACAAGTCACATAAAAATTCAATCTTATTCGTAAGTGCACGACATGTATTTTCTGCACTTAAAATAATATTAAAGAAAAAGAGAAAAAATTGAAAATAAAAAAATTCAATCATAGAAAAAACAAAGCTTGAAGTAAATTGTGATAAATATTCAGCCTTGTTCATACGGACTCACATATATGATGATTTATAATATATATGCTGTATTTTTGTATAACGTATATACGGAAAAAAATCGTTTATGCAACAAAAGCTTAGCATTCTTAGCAATATGATTTTAATCTTGACACATCATTTTGTCAAATAGGTTCCATACAAGAATTACGCAGGCTGTTTGAATAAAGCTTAAATGTCGATGCATATTGCATTCACGAAAAAAAATGAAGTTTATATCAGTTTATATTAATGTTATTACATGTAAAAATATTTGCAGAGCTATAGATTTTATATACAGATAAATAGATTTATAAATAGATATTAAATAAAGCAAACGCAATTTTTTTAGATAAATACCTAATATAATTTTTTAATGTGCAATAATATACAAAAATATACACCACCATGTACTGTGATGCCCTTACGAATTGGTGCTTCTGCTATAACTGGCAGGACTTTGGACTTGATCGTCACTGATTAGGGAACGTTATTTTTTACTGCAGTTAAATACTGAAGACGAGAGAAAAGAACCCGAAGTTCTGCAACGATGTTTTCCATCTGCGTCAAAACGTTACGGGCTACTAGCAAAGTGAGATTCTTCTCGAATTCGTTTCGATTTTCGTCTTTCACTTGTTTCGTTGATTCTATCCATACGATTCATATATAAGAACGTTACGTTCCATCGACTTTGACTTTAAAATTCGTCACAAACGTTTTCTATTTTTTTGAAAAGCACAAGGTAGAGATAAATCACTGTTTATAATTGTTAATTACTCCAAATAATCTTATGATAAATATAGTCACTCGCAGTTCACTAAATTGGTACACATTGAAGGTTGCTTTATATAAAGTATTTAAATAAATTGTGACATAATATACTCAACTTTGACCATGAAATAATACATGTATATTCTAGCTGTTAAATAATGTGACAATATTATTATTAGTATTTAATTGTTTAAAATATTTATACATTTACTTTGCTAATTTTGTATAACAGTTTTCAGTATTGCACTAATCTAGTACAATGCAAGTGTCTGAATTTGCTATTAAACATAGATTTGTAGTCGTTTTCTAATTGTCTTTGAAATTTAATTTAAGTGTCTCACAAATGTCACTTATTTTCAGTTTACTTCATTGGCACGTTACGAATCTACTTTGGTCATTGCGGAGCATAACAGTAAAAACCTATTGCCACTCACCTGTAACACATTGACAGCTGCCAAGAAGATAGGCGGCGATATTACTGTACTGGTAGCTGGCACGAAATGCCAAGCAGTTGCACAGAATGCATGCAAAGCCAAAGGCGTGTCCAAGGTCTTCCTCGCAGACAGCGATGCGTTTAAGGGATTTACTGCAGAATCGTTGACGCCGCTTATACTTAAGCTGTGCAACGAACACAAATTCACACATATACTAGCTGGTGCAAGTGCATTTGGCAAGGCATTGCTTCCCCGAGTTAGTTTACAATTTATTCTCTCTTCTAAGAAATTATACCAACTGTCAATTTTATGTTAATTCATATAAATCTGTTTAATTGAAGGTTGCAGCCAAGTTAGATGTATCACCAATAAGCGATGTTATCAACATAAAAGCTTCGGATACTTTTATACGTACTATATACGCTGGTAATGCCATTCAGACTCTTAAGTCTAAGGATAATGTAAAGGTAATATCCATAAGAGGTACTTCTTTCGAGTTGCTACCTTTAGAAGATGGAGACGCTAAGTGTGAAACTGTCCCTACTGATGATTATACTTCAAATCAAGTGGAATACGTCAAACAAGAGCTCAGCAAATCCGACAGGCCAGAATTAACATCTGCCAAAGTTGTGATTTCCGGCGGACGTGGAATGAAGTCCGGAGAAAACTTTCAACTGCTGTATACATTGGCAGACAAGCTCAACGCGGCAGTTGGAGCATCCCGTGCCGCGGTCGACGCTGGCTTTGTGCCAAACGATATGCAAATAGGGCAAACTGGGAAAATTGTTGCACCTGTAAGTAAAAAGTAAATTGCTAAAACATACTTTATTGGAATAATTCTTATCTTGTCTTGAACACTTATAATCTTATGATTGTGATTTCAGAATCTATACATAGCAGTTGGAATTTCGGGAGCAATTCAGCATCTTGCTGGAATGAAGGACTCCAAGACGATTGTAGCTATTAACAAGGACCCGGAAGCTCCCATTTTTCAAGTAGCAGATTATGGATTAGTCGCAGACTTATTTAAGGCTGTTCCCGAATTAACAGAGAAGTTATAAATTATAAACAGGGCTCATATAAACTTTGTATTTCAATTGTTTTTGTACATTTTATTATATATTGTATTATAATACTGGAATATTAGATTAAAATTTTTATGATGGTTTATAATAAAAATTAATTTATCATTTTAATGGTTACAAACTGTTTACATAATGTTAATAATGTATCAAATTAATTTTTACACATATTGAGTTTAGAATGATTCTGACCAAACTCCAATTAATTTGATTGATTTTTATTCAACCAATGCAATCGCTTAAAACAAAATTCAGTTATACAATTTATTGTTTCTGATCTAATCTTTTCATATATTAAATAGTGAAAAATTAATAATTCTAGGGGACCTATTAGACACATGATTTTCAGTTAAGCAAAGCAAGCTACAGACATTACTACAAACAAAAAAAGAACAATACCTCAAAATAAATTAATGAGGCCTTGCAAAGAATTAGAGAATTGTAAATATCAAAAATAACAACATATTTAAGGAAAGGCTATGCTGAAGCTACCGTGCTTAATAGAGTAAAATTGCTGAAATTAATACCGGCTCTTTAATCATACTACGTTGCCTAAAAATTCAATTATTGTACTTACGTACCTTTTTACGGATTATTTGAGAGCTATACATGGTACTGCAACGCTGCTGCGTTACATTCGTGATATGAAACGCACAATAAGAGTATTGTTACTTACGTAAAAAAAATTTTTGTGTTTAAGAAATCATGAAAAATATATTTTTGAATTTTGAACAGCGCATAACAAAATATAATTTTTTAAATGTAACTTTAAATTTTTTTGCACTGCTATGATGTTTTAAATGAGAAATTTTCAGTACCCAGACACAGCATAGAATATTTATGTGTTAAATAAAATAAATATTTCTGTAAGTAATTTTTAATTGGATTATAATGTCTTATTAACTTTCATAGTATTTATTACATCATTTACAATAAATATATAATATTTATAATAAATGTTTATGATTTGTGCAATCTACTAAGCCACAAAAAATTTACAAAATATTTAAAATAAATTTTATATAAATATTTAAAAATATTTTATAAATATTGTGTGCTGTCTAGATATATAGTGCGATTTAGGGAACGAATTTCATCCTCGTAAAAATCGCAATTATACGCACTAAAAATGTCCTCATTTTAATCCTCCAACACTACCTTGTGCCTTTTTAATTAAAGCACAGTCGATATCTTGTTTTCTCAAAATTCTTATAAGTCGGCATCCACATTCACGTAAGTAACAGCGACATCTAATGTTAAACGGTGTGGAAATTGGAATGGGTCCTTCGAGTCGGTTTTTATATGCGTGCTAAAATCAATTATTATTACAAAATAAAGCATAATTAAATACGAAACTAATATACGCTAAATACGTGCAAAGTGAAAATTTCTTTCTTGCAAGAATATTTGCCTACAGCAAAAGTACGTGTTTATTATTCTATTTAATAAACATTATTACAGGTTATGTTATACATATCTGTAAAAAAAACGTTTCACGAAACTCAAATTATTTATTGTTAATCTCATTTATCAAAAAAATCTAAATTAAATTTGTTATATTTTCGAAATATATTAAGTAAAATATATTATAATAATTTAAATATCATTCAATTTTAATTTATAGAAATTAATATGTGGCTAATTTTTATATTTATACAGAATATGCAGAGTATTCGCCAATGTGTTAAACAATTAGCATCATATAGCAAATCTGCTATAAACAGGACGAGTATACTATCAAGTGCAACAAATTTTGCACGAACGCCAACATGCAATATACATATTTCTGCAATCTGTAGAACTGATTTACGTAATTACAAAACCCCGAACAGGTTTCTAAATTATAACAAAACTATATTTCCACCTCAAAAACCAGGTGAAGAAAGAAGACCTGCTGTAAGTTATATTGTGTATGTGTATTAAATATTGGTTATTAAGTTATTGATTATTTCGCTTGCACGTTGTTTTACAGTATGTATGTCACATGAAACCCAACATAAAATACAGCCCAAAGAAAATGTGGTACATCGCAGGCTTTGTACGAGGAATGACCGTGGACGAAGCTGTAAAACAATTGAGTTTTATGTATAGGAAAGGTGCTGCGATTGCAAAGGAAGTTATATTGGAAGCTCAACGTTTGGCTGTAGAGGAACACAACGTTGAATTTAAAAGTAATTTGTGGGTTGGTGAGTACATGAATCAATCAATATTCGAGACTTCCGTTTTATGTATTCTTATATACTAAATTTCCTGAGTCTTAATCATTTGATTACTATCAAGGAAATAATTATTTCTTGTGCAGCGGAATCATTCTGCACCAAAGGTATTGTAATAAAGGGTTTACGACGACATGCTAGGGCACGCAGGGGAGTTGTGCACTACAGATATTGTCATTATTTTGTACGCTTGGAAGAAGGACCACCACCTAAGCACTATTATCTGCCACATCCCAAAACTGGCGAGGAATTGTTAAACAATTGGATGGAGCAGTTGCATATGCGCAAAATACCGAATTCTTTGTAATATTAGAAATGTAATTGTAATACTTTAAATATACATTATTTAAGAACCATTATATTTACAAATCGTATATATCAAAAGTACATCTTTCAGTACTTATTTCATTTTTATAGTGATTCGTTAAGAATGTGCTATTTTTCTAAAATTGTAACTTACAACAGATCTTTCTTCACCCGACTGTCGAAATGGAAGTAAATATAAATATTTCATAGTCTTGGTATAATCTAGAAAGGGTTTTTGTATTTAATCAAATTGGTTTTGCTATATGACACTAAATGCTTGATGCATTGGTGAATACTGGTGAATACTTGCAATCTGTAAATATAATTTGCTATATATTAACTTCTATAAAACACGAGTTATAATTGAATGACGGTAAAATCATTACAATTAACTTAATACAACAAAAATATAACAAATTCCAAGAGATTGAGATGTGTAAAACATTTTTTCGCAGAGAAGTGTAAAACAAATTAAAATATGTTCATGTTTTATTTTAAATCATACATTAATATAACGTGAAATTGTGCTCAATTATATTAATATTGTGAAGCCATAGAGGCATTACACAAAAAAATGACAGATTTTATTCCTTATACAGAAATGATATCTTTATTTATCATCTGCAAATATGTGTGATTTACAACTTTAGTTTAGTTCTCCTCCAGTGACGCCTCTTCGCATTATACCTGAAAACAAATACATAAAAAATTAGTTTTAATGCACAGACCTTCAATATTTATATAATAGTTATCACAACGATTTCTGATAGGTAATCTGTTATTTCTTGTTCCATTTTATTAAGTTTGAGCTTTAATGTAGCTAAAATATTGTAACGCTGCTGTAATATTAGAATATTCTAGGCTTCATGGATATATGCTAAAAGTAATTACCAAGAATTGAAATATTTCTATTTCTTAATGTTATAAAATTATTTCATAACAATCTCATGTGTTATATACATAGTAAAAAAAATCACGATAATTAAATTCTTGAAACAATCCATCAAATTATGAGATCTTTAAATAAAAAAAAAACATTTGATTTAAATCTTATTCAGATTGATATTTTAATCTTTTCTCGCAATTTAAAACTATAATTCTAATTTTGTTTTGATACAAATTATACTATAGCAACGATTGCATAATTATATGCAAGGAGAAAACGAGCAATGTTTATAACCAATGCATGGAATTGAAGCAAGATATCTGTGTGCATCTTAATATTAAGTAAGCATTTTTTTGTCGTAAAAATCTGAAATATATTTACTCTAATCAGACTTGAACTTACCGGATAGTATTACCGGTCCGCATTCTCACCCATTGGGGAATCGGTCTGTTTTGCTTCAACTTTTTCGCAAGCTTTCGCTTGATAATAAATGTCTTGTGAGCCGACTGAAACAAATACGAAACAAATTCAGAGCCTACAGATATGAATTTTAAGTGTTTTTACATGCAAGAAGATAGGATTGCGAGAAAGTAAATGGATGTATCGAGAACATGCATAAAACTCACCATCGTGCCTATTCACACTTCTGCAGAAACACGACAAGTGAAAGAGCAAAGCGGTTAAAAAATGAACATGAACGTATACGCGGTTAAAATATTTTCTAGAAGGGCGTTCGCTACATCGTTATGGATTCTCTTCTGAGTGGATCCACCAATCACAGGATTAGTTTCCACCGAGGGTTCGATCCGGGTCAGAATGCAAGAACCAACCAACTACAGTCGAGCATTCCTCTGTTACAGTCGAATTACAGGGGAATGCTCGACTGTAGTTGGTTGGTTCTTGCATTCTGACCCGGTTCGAACCTTCGGTGGAAACTAGAGTCCTATATATAAAGAGAAGCGATATTGAACCCCCACTACCAGATCGGATCCCTACGCCGCCATGTTTCGACCGCTCCAGTGTCGTAAATATAAACATACTCCAATCACCAACATTGGGTGCTTTCCATTTGATGACACAAGTCGACACAAGCATCATTCTATCCTTCTTGACAGTCAGAAAGTGACAAAGATAGAATGATATTTGTGTTGACTTGTGTCGTCAAATGGAAAGCACCCATTGTACTCCGTTGACTCCGTTAAGGCCATCATACGTACAAAAATTTTAGTTGCAATCGTAAAGCCGTAAGCAAATCGGCCAATCATAGTCGAGCGTTTAAAAACGCGAGATCTTAATTTTGATTGTGATTGGACGATTTGTTTGCAACCTTACGATTCCGACTAAAATTTTTGTACGTGTGGTGGCCTTTACCCCGAATCTACAATAGGGTTTTAAGCCTTAAGTCATAAGAAATGGACGAATCACAGTCGATTATTCCCCTCGGATTCCACTGTAATTGGTCAATTTCTTATGGCTTAAGTCTTAAAACACCTATTGTAGATTCGGATCTACCCTGAATCTACAATAGGGTTTTAAGCCTTAAGCCATAAGAAATGGGCGAATCACAGTCGATTATTCCCCTCGGATTCGACTGTAATTGGTTAGTTTCTTACTCTGGATCTACATTATGCGTCGTCTACAATACACGGAGTAAGAAGTACGAGTAAGAAATTGACCAATCACAGTCAATTGTTCTTCACATTGGACTGTGATTGGTCAATTTCTTACTCGTACTTCTTACTCCGTGTATTGTAGACGACGCATTAGGGTTTTAAGCCTTAAGTCATAAGAAATAGGCGAATCACAATCGATTATTCCCCTCGGATTCGATTGTAATTGGTCAGTTTCTTATGGGTTAAGTCTTAAAACACCTTTTGTAGAGCCGAACTTACTGGGCTTTCTACAATAAGCCATTAGTCATAAATCAGAAGACAGAAGCTAAAAATTGACGACTGTGATTGGTCAATTTCCAGATTTCTAACTTCTTATTTATGACTAATGGCTTATTGTAGAATGCCTGTACGGCTTAAGTCTTAAAACAGCTATTGTAGATCCGGACTTAGCGGAGTGAGTATTTCTATGAGTAGTCTGTATTTCATTACTTTAGATCTATAATAGATATTTTAAATCTTAAGCGGGGAGCACAGACTTTTGCATAACGCATAACATGTAATGCATAAGAAATTCAATCAATCAGAATTCTTTATTTCATGGAAAGGAAGGAAACGAAGGGCTTTGATTGGTACATTTTCTTATACATTACGTGTTATGCGTTATGCAAGAGTCTGTGCTCCCCGCTTTAAGCCGTAAAAAATTGATCAGTTACTTAAGACTTAATAACGCATTAAATATGATGGCCACGTCAGTTGTGTAAACAGCTGTGTAAACAGCTGCGTCACAATATGGCTGCTTCACTTAGGAGGGGATACCCAATCAGAATACATATCAGACTGCCAATCAGAAACTCGGACGTCAATGTCGCTTCTCTTTATATATAGAACTCTAGTAGAAACTAGGTCAGTGTTGAGAATTCCGGCGAAGGCGAGGTTATTGTTTTGAGACTGTCGTAAACACAACGAACTATAGATGGCACCAAAATCATTTAAAATGATCGCTCCAAGGATAAAGCAGAATTATTCTTTGATTTATTCTTTTATTCTTTAGTTTGCTCTAAAGAATTGTACAATATTGCGAATAATTTTTCGTTTTTCTTTTGGATTTTGATGCATTTTTATTGTTAGCCTATTTTTTTTTAACTGAACTTCTTGCACGGTTCATCTTCTCTCTTTTCATCTCCAACGTGGAGAGAAAAGAAAGAAAGCTGAACTGTGCAAAAACTTTAGCTGAGAAAAACAGACCTTGTGTTAATTTTAATGTTTATTTTCTTTAGAATGATTTGTTTGTACCAGTTTATACTTTTTTAGAGGAAAACGAGCGAAAAATATCTGAGTGCAGAAGTTGCAGATAAAACGAACAGACCCGTGGCCATCGAAGATACCCCGCTCGATAGCCAATCCGCGTTCAACAAGTACTGACAAGAGTGTCTACGACATTTCTGATTCAGAAGAATTCAGAAGAGTCGATTGCAGGAGAGTCACGGAACGTTTGAATTTCTGGAGATTGATCGTTCTACAAATCGCTTCGAAATTCTTCCTCGGCATACATACAGCTGGCTCGTTCTTGACAAGGAATTGTATTAGCAAATGATATGGATTAATCATTAATGGCGACTATCCTCATCCCGTATCTCATCTCGTCTTCGTTCAACCGCTCAGTTGTGACGATGCTCGTGACGTAACTGAATTAATACTGAATTATTATGATGGAGTGTCAGGCCTGAAGGTTCACGCCTCGCGATTTATTTATCATTCTGCTCTGTCACTGTGATCACGAGCGAGCACACTTGAATTTTGGTGACTCGGGATATACCTCGGAGCGACAGCAAAGATGGACAGCAACAAGGATGAAGCGGAGCGATGTATGGAGCTCGTGGAGCGATTTATGCGGGAAAGAAAGTACGAGGAGGCCGAGAAGTTCGTCCGAAAAGCTCAGAAGCTTTATCCAACGAAGAAGGCGGAGGGTGAGTCTGTAGTCTTCATGCAGTCCATTCAATGCATTGTTGATGCGAGAATGTTGATTTTCTACATACTTTGCATGTGAATGTACCACAGACTTTTGAGTTTGCCAACATTGATTTGTTCTAAGTTTCTCGTTGTATATATATTTTAATTTATTATCTTGTCTATTATTTTTCTTATTTTTTTACATGGTGATTAGTCTTATATTTATAGCTGGATTTAGTGAAGTCAAAGCATCCCTTTATTTTTACTATTTTTTATTAATATATATATAATTTTATATTAATATATATATGTATAATATATTATTATTTATATATTATAAATATTATATATATATATATATAATATATTTAATGAAATTATTTTTTCATCCTTGCTTTGTATATCTGACCTTTCTTTGTTTTTTTTATTATTTACAATATAATGAGCTTAATCTATTCACGAATTTGTTGTTTTTACATTATCCACATTTAGGTAAAATAAAACTTTTATTTTATGCAAGAGTACACATGTTCCTTCTTTTTGTCAGAATAATGATGGTTACAGGAATTGAATAATTATATTTGTAGAACTGCTGGCAGAAGTGACAGTACTCTCAAAGCAGAACCAGAAATCTGAAACGACTGAACCTAGCGTTAGAAAGCGGCAAAATGTAGCTAAAGACAATACATATTCCCAGAATAACTCAGAGTATTCCAAAGAACAGTTAGAGCATGTAAAAAGGTAGATATTTTAAGATTGTTTTAATTCAGTAAACTATAAGTCCGGATCTACAATAGGTGTTTTAAGACTTAAGCCATAAGAAATTGACCAATTACAGTCGAATCTGAAGGAAATAATCGACTATGATTCGCCCATTTCTTATAACTTAAGACTTAAAATCCTATTGTAGATCCGGAGTAAGTCTGCAAATACAATAGAGTAGTAAGCCTTACGGCTTAAGAAATTGACCAATCATAGTCGATTATTTTTCTCACATTCGACTGTCATTGATCAATTTCTTAAGGCTTACTACTCTATTGTGTTTGCGGACTAATATACCAGAGCACACCTTCCCTGTACTAAAATATAGAAAACTGCAGTCCATTAGAGCGAAAAGAAGACAAATACTTGTCGTTCTGATTCTTTTCTACTTATGATAGTAAAATAACATTAACCAATCAGCAAATCCCTGACAAAGAAACAATATTTTCTTTATATTAAAGTGTCATTGTCTAGGAATTGAAACATTTCGATGGCTTGCTCCAGTGTATTATAGAGTTCACTGTTTTAATTACTCAAAAATAATACAGTTATAATATTTGTATAATATATTGTTCATTTACTACACAATGATACAATTTGAAAAATAAAGTTTTCTAAAAAAATGAATTTGAATGAACTGAATCATTAAAATTTTTTAATATTAATCTCTAAGTGCAATTTTGTTTTAATAATTAATTGTAGAGGAATAAAAATATGTTCTTTTAAATTACATTTTTTAATTTATATTACCATTATTTTTCTGTAATCAAGTAAAAAATTTCAATATTTTTAGTTATGTTGTAATACATGAGCAATATTTATTTTTTCACGTTTAATCTATATTTTATTTATTCAATTATTATCTGTTAATTATTTTAATTATTTTGTATAAATGATTTATACGAATTTTTTATTATTGTAGGATAAAGAAATGCAAGGATTATTATGAGATTTTAGGAGTCAGTAAAGATGCTACAGACAGCGACATTAAGAAAGCTTACAAGAAATTAGCGCTTCAATTACATCCTGATAAAAATAAAGCACCAGGTGCTGCCGAAGCTTTTAAAGGTACATCAAATTATATTTAAAAAATAGGGAAATTAGAGTTGCGAATATATTTACATGTAACAAAATTGATTTTTTTTACAGCTATTGGCAATGCTGTTGCTATTCTTACCGATACGGAGAAACGGAAACAATACGACACGTATGGTCCCGAAGAAGAACGATTACAAAATGTACACAGCCGCCAAAGCAATACACATTACAATTATACCCGCGGATTTGAAGGTAAAAGAATATTAAGAGAAAAGACGTATATCCCTGCGTGCGAATCTTTTAAGGAATAGCTAGAGCATTATAGAAGTAGATACAACGTTAGTGAA